GGAGGTCAGCCTCTCATCCAGGGCCCACTGACATCTAAGTAGAATGCACACCGGAAGGGGGAAATAGTTCCCCCAGGTGAGCATTTCTTCTACTCCTGTCCTGTGCCTGCTCTAAGGGAAGGAGAAAAGTTCCTAAGGGCTGAGGCCAAACAGAAGAGGGAATTTCCATTCCTTTCTCTCTCACAATTTATGTATTTGTTTCAACCAATGATCTGTGAAACCCACCATTCTCCGAATAAGAGTTAGAAAAAAGAAAAACGAAAAATAAGACACCCCTGGGCTGGGCAGGTGGGGATCCCTGTCAGATAAAACAACCTGGACAGAACAGATTTTCCCTTCTGTCCAACACTTACCAAGGAACTTAAAACAATAAAACAATAACAACAACAACAACAAAACCTTTTGCTGAGTCCTTTTTTTAAAAAAGATTTATTTATTTATTTATTTATTTATTTATTTATTTATTCATTATGAATACACTGTAGTTGTCTTCAGACACACCCGGCTTTGCTGAGTCCTTTTTAAAAGATTAAAGAGGCGGGGCAGTGGTGGCGAACGCCTTTAATCTCTGCACTTGGGAGGCAGAGGCAGGTGGATTTCTGAGTTGGAGGCCAGCCTGGTCTACAGAGTGAGTACAGAGAGAAACCCTGTCTTGAAAAAACTAAAAAAAGAAAAAAAAAAAAAGACTAAAGACAGCTACTAACAAGATTGCCTTTGTCATCAAGTTGGCCCCAGATATTAAAAAAAAATATATAACAGTTAAAAGAAATTTAAAGAAATAAGTAGGTCCCAGTTGCTAGAGAGAGATAGCCTAGAGGGTGTTTAATAACAGAGAACTGATTGGGACAAGACCTTTCACAAAAACAGAAAGCCACTGTCATCTTCTCTGAGGATGAGAGATGCAGTTAGACTTACAGATACTCAGCAAAATTTTGATGTCTTACTCTCTATCAGAAACAAACCCAACCCCCAGGATTGGCCCAACACCAAGCTCCTATAATTGTTCAACTAACCAGTTCAGCTACCTCTGTCCAGATTAAACCATTCTCAATGAGCCTGGAAACAAAGGGGGGAAGTTAAAGTCCGTATTGCCTGGCTTGAAAAAACAGAAATCCTGGTTCCCTGTCAGTCACCCTGGAGTACACCTCTCCTGCCTGTGAAAAGTCCTGGGACCTCTGACTCTCATGAGTCTGCTTCTTTCAGGAAGAAAGGTGTATGCTGTCTTGGACCTGAAAGATTAATTCTTCAGCCTCCCGTAGGCAGAGGTGAGTCAACCCGTCTTTGTTTTCAAATGGACAGACACGGTGGGAGGTTACAGCAGGCAACTTAAGTGGACCAGGTTGCCCCAGGATTTAAAGACATGAATACTTCCTGTCCTGTTTTGACAGAGGCTTCCTGGGAAAACTGATTATAAAAGGGCCACTGAGGGATTGCTGCAAGTGTTATATAGACCTCAGGCTACAAAATGTCAGCTAAACCAGATGGTGGTGGCACACGCCTTTAATCCCAGCATTGGGAGGCAGAGGAAAGTAGATCTCTGAGTTCCAGGCCAGCCTGTTCTACAGAGTGCGTTCCAGGACAGCCAGGGATACCAGAGAAATTCTGTCTCAAATAGAGTAGAGTAGAGTAGAGTAGAGTAGAGTAGAGTAGAGTAGAGTAGAGTAGAGTAGAGTAGAGTAGAATTAAAATTGAAATAAAATATAAAATAGTTGGCTAAGAAAGTCGACCTTTGTAGAAGGCTACTTATCTTGGCTACCAACTGAAGGGAGGCAAAGAGAGCCTGTCAGCATACAGTAGGATTGCTGCCATCCTTCAGATCCCAACTCCAAAGACTAATAGACAGCTTCAAGAGTTCCTAGGTGCAGCTAGGTATTGCTGCCTCTGGATACCAGAGTTTATGGAAATAGAAAGATCTCTATTTACCAGCACAAAGTGGGGGCACTGAGCCCCTAATCTAGACTAAAGAAAAGACAAAAGGGGTTTTAACTTTTTGTGGTCCAGGAATATCCACACACTGACCACTTGGACACAGATCTCAGATGGGATGACAATTTATTGACTGTTTAATTCAGGCAGATCAATCAGGGTCACAGAGAAGACCTGGGAATCATTGTGATCCTGGTCTACTCTGAGGGCAGGCTTTTTATAGGAAAACCACGCACAGAAGACAAGGAGGAGCAGTATTTTGGCTAATTAGACAAAGTATTTCCAGATGACCTTTAAGCTGACTGGGCCTACGTGGGATCAGTGAGGTTGTGGTGAGGGGGTTTTCAGAGTACTAAGATAACAGAGGTTGAGTAATAAAACCATAGCATTGTGACCTTTGGGGAGATTTTTCCAGTGTCAACTAGAATAATTACTTCTGGGAAGTGAAATTTGAGAACTTGAACTTAATTTCACCTTATGAACTAGATAGACTAAATTCAAAATGACTACAGTTAAGTTAAAATGAGTAGGTCTTAACTCAGTCTTGAGTGTCATGGAAATACCCTGTGACAAACCTGTCCAAATGACTGGACCCTGTAGCCTTAGGATGGCCCACCTGTCTAAGAGCTGTAGTAGCTACTGGAAGTTTAATGAAAAAAATAACAAACAAGTTAACTCTGGGCCAAGTTATACTCATAGCACCCAACAACACACTTGAGTCCCTCCTCTGTGGAACACTAGAATGGCACCTGTCTAATGACTGTATGACACAGTACCAGACCTACTCCTGGCCCATTCTTGAGTCCAACTTGAGAAACCTACCACCATCAATGCAGGTGTCATCATCCAAGACTGTCAGGAGATGAAAAATGAAACCAGGTTCATGGGAGCTGCGGTAGTTACTTTAACCAAAATGATTTGAGCTCAAGCAAGGTACCTCAACCCAGAAAGCAGAACTGATTAATCAGACCCAAGCTCTCAGATGGAGAAAGGAAAGTCCATCACCATATACAAGGACTGTCACTCAGTATTGTTTACTACCAGTCATATCCACAATGTGATATATACAGAAAGAGGGGAAAAGAGCATGAAAAAAATCTTGACCATCCTAGGAGCTATTTGTTTTCCCTCATAAATTGCTATCCTCCACTGCTCGGCTTCTGACCTGGTTGCTTGACAAATAGCCCTAAGACCAATGGCTATTTCTGGTTGTCAACTTGGCTACATCTGGAAGGAACTGCAATCCAGAAATGGAAGGCATACCTATGGATCCAGATCTAGAGGCTGGAAGACTCAGGCTTCTGACCTGGATCTTGACATGGAAATCTTGAGGCATAGTGGCCATAAAATGTTTAGGCCCAGGCAAAATAATAATCCCTGGAGACTGAGGCAAGCAAATCTCTGAGTTCAAGGCCAGCCTGAGACAAAACAAGTTCCAAATCCAGGCATGCTGGTACACACTTTAGTCTGGGTCACACCTTCTGCTGGAGGCCTGCATAAGGACATCGAAAGAAGGAAGACTCACTCTTCTTTGGCTGCTTGCACTTATTCACCAGCACATCTGTTGGAACATACTTCTTCAGGATTCCAGCTTATACAGATAACCAGCTGAAACAACTACCCTTGTGGGACTGAGAGAGTACTAGTACTAGACTTCCCACTCACAACTGCCTATTGTGGGGTTACTTGGAATCCAGACTGTAAGTAATTACAATAAATTCCCTTAATGTAGAGATATTTCATAAATTCTGTGACTCTAGAGAACCATTACTAATACAACCAATGAGGCCTATTGATATTGTAATGGCGTGAGGTATTACTGACTGATACTACCTGAGACTCCATGCTAAAGGAAACAGGGACAGCTCAAACCTACCCACAGATAGGTTGATGGAGGACACCAGAGGGAAAGGAAAGCTCATTCTCTCTGAAACAACTGGCAGGACTGTTGGTAACTAACCTTCACCAGGCTACATCTCTAGTTTCAGACCCCAGGTCAAGGGGCTGAGGTACATATTTCACATACCAAAGCAGATCTGGCCTCCAGATTCTCCCAGCATCCCTTAGTCCCTACCTTCTCCCAGCCTTGAACTTTCCTTTCCCCCCAATCTTGAACTTTCCCTTCCCCCAGCCTTGAGCTTTCCAGCCTAGAGGCTGGACTGTCCTTCCCTTAGAGGCTTTTCCCTATATAATCCAGACATTTTGGTCTCCCCACCCTCTCTCTTCCCTCTTCTCTCTCTTCCTCTTCTCTCCCTCCTCTTCCTCTGCCTCCTCCTCCTTTTTCTCCTCCTCCTCTTCCTC